CTTGAGGAGGTGATTGTTGATGTGAATGAAATTGTTGCGGTGGTTATCCTGGAGGCTAAGATCAAGTTGGAAGAGGCTCTTGAGCATTCAGGATCCTAGAATGTAGTAGGATGGTGTGAGGCACTAGCCAAACTAACCAGCAAGCCTGTCACCACTTCTGAGGATCTTGCACCGTAGCCAAAAGTGGAAAAGGAGTAGAAGAAGGCCGATGATGACCAGGCTAAGGTCTAAGCCTTTTAGGTGGTTAGGGTAGTATAGTTTTTTGATGTAACCATTTGACTCTTGTAGGGCTGTAAGACTTTTATTTTGAATACAATGGTTAATCTTTCCTTTATCTTTCTTTGTTTCCTTTACCTGCATAATATGATCCTAAGATCTTTGTGTAGTTAGGATCCTAAAAACAATGACTAATTTTCAAGATAAAGTTCTTTTGGCAAATAATAGATAAAATGATTTAATAAGGATTGATTAGTTAAACAAATAAAATTAATAACTTAAAATAATAACAACTGACTTTGTTAAGCAATTTAAAATGTTAAAAGTTTCTTTACAAGTTTGATGACTGACTTGTAATCCTCAAGCAAAAATTACTTTATAAGTAATTTTGGAAAATCTAAGTGCTTTAAAACTTCTTTACAGATATCAATTTAAAATAGTAAATGACTCTGAAGTGATGAAAGTTTATAAATCAGCAAATAGTTTATGATCCTGAAAAGTTTAAGATCCTTATATTTACTTAAAAATTTTGAAACTCAAGGAAAAATGGAACCTGATTGTCTTCGAGTTTTTCCTTAAGCTTCATAAGTTTTTCAATCATAGATTTTACTAAGGATAAATCTCAACTTATGAAAGAACTTCGGATCTCGGTTGACTTCTGATGATAAGATTCTTACTGATGAAGATCCTTAAGGATGAGGATCCTTAATCATAAGATCATACGGGGGAATTCCTTTCTTAGGATAACCTGTATAGGTTATAGACTTTGACAAAATTCTTGGGTAACACCATAAGTTCAATTGATAACATGTTAATGTTATATACTGGAGATGATCCCAACTTGTGACATATTTCATGGGAAATATCCCTACTTATGATAACATGAAAATGTTATGATTCGTGTGTATTTTCTGGGGAAAGATGCCAACGTGTGATAACATGAAGATGTTATAAACCTTATGTAATTTCTAGGGTAAGATCCCAATTTTAGATAACATGAAAATGTTATAAACCTTAAGGATTTTAACTTATGTTCAAAGATAAGAGGGTTGCCAAGCCACTACATCGTGAAATAATCCCCTTATTCGTATCCCATAGTTAGATACTGTGCGTTCAGGCGAGGTGTATAAACCTTAGTTCGCCTGAAAGAGGTAATTACCTCTTTAAACCTCAGAGGGGATTAAGTACCCTTAATCATAGGAGAGATTATCAGTCTCTAGCTTTTGTATATTATAGTTTAAAGATCATGCCATTGATATAATGGGATTTTCCAAGTATTAAGATGTTTAAATCTTCGTGTGTCAAGATCCTTATGTTTCAGGATCATTGCTTATGGAAATCCTTAGTTTTACATTGTTTTGAATAGAAAACATTATCTAGGGGTGGGCGCTAGTCTATCTAACTCCCCTCCAATGCATAAGTTAGTAATGCATTCGAGGAGAAAGTAATGATAAAAAGTTTAAGATAAACAACATGTGCACCTTGGTTTTGTTGATGATCAATTGATCTTATTTACATATAGTATACTTTGAGATGTATAGCATTCCAGGATCTTGGCAAAATGACTCATTCGAGTATTGCTAGCCAATATGCTCCTTTTCCTGCTTCAACATCTATGAGATATGGTCCTTCCCATTTAGGAGATAATTTACCTGCACTAGGATCCTTGGTGTTTTGGAATGTTTTCCATAATACCAAATCTCCTATTTGGAATCTTCTGAATTTTATGTTCTTGTTGTAAGCCTTGTTGATCCTTTTTTGATGAGAAGAAATGCATATCTTGGCTAGATCTCTGAGTTTGTCAATAGTGTCAAGATCCTGGACTAGGATCCTGTCATTGTTTTCTTGATTTTAGAGCTAGTATCTTGCTTTCAGGATCAGTACTTCGGTAGGGATCATTTCTTCCGTCCCAAACAACAAGGACTAGGGGTTCTAACCTGTGGCTACTTTGTAAGTAGTCCAATATGCCTAGAGGACGAAAGGAATATCTTCTACCCATCTTCCATTCTTTTCATATAGCCTTTTCTTCAAGTTGTTTACTGTGATCTTGTTGCTAGATTCTGCCTGACCATTAGCTTGGGGATGAATAAGAGTGGACATTATCATTTTGATTCCCCAACTCCTGCAAAAATCTCTTGTCCTCTTGCATATGAACTGGGATCCATAGTCGCATATGATTTAAGCAGGGATCTTGAACCTGGTCAAGATATTATGTTTAATAAATGAGACTACCTCTTTGTCTCTTACCTAAATGAAGGCTTCAGCTTCGATCCACTTCGAGAAGTAACTAGTCATCACCAACATGAAGACTTTTCCTATTAGATCTATTGGTAATTTTCCTACTATATGCATTCCCCATTTCATGAATGTCCATGGAGAGATAATAGGATGTATAGGTTCCACTGGTTGATGTAGGATGTTGCTATGGCTTTGGCAAGCATCACACTTTTTATCATGTAGAAAAGAATCTCTCATTATGGTTGGCCAATAGTCTCCTATTCTCAATACCTTGGAGCATATATAAGGATCTGCCCCCAGTGTGATTGCCATAGTCTCTTTCATGTATGTCGTTCAATACTTCTGCAACTTTAGGATCTTCCAAGCATCTAAGGTATAGACCTTCTATAGACTTTTTATAAAGTTTATGTTGGATTATTATGGATCTTGAGACTCTTGTTTTGAATGTTCTTTTGCTTTTTTCTTCTGTTGGGATCGTGCCATTTTGGAGATACTCCATAACGGTTTGGATCCATGATCGTGGACTTCTTCAAGGATCCTATTTGCTGGGATACCCTTGAGGAGGGATCTGATGGTCAGGATCTTTGATGGCTGCTACACTTATTGGTTATTCAGGATCATCAGGTTTGTCAGAAAGGGCTTCTATAGTTGGGGTTATTATTTAGGTTATTGGGATCTTCCTTTCTGGCGGGATCCTTAAGGAGGATCCTAAGTTGGCCAATGTGTCTGCTTCTGTATTTTCTTCTCTATAAACTTGGGTTAGGCAAAAGTTTTCAAAATCAGAGGCTAATTTTTTGTGGATCTCAAGGTATAATGCTAATCCTTCACCTTTCACTACATAAGATCCATTGAAGTGATTAGTTAATGATAAAAAAAATTAACAAATACCTAAAGATCCTTCATTTGAAGATACTTAGCCAATTCTAGTCCCATGATGAGTGCTTCATATTCTACTTCGTTGTTGGTTGCGTTGAATCCAAAACTAACTATCTGGGGTAGGATGTCCCCCTGTGGTGATTTTAGTATGATCCCTAACTCGGTTCTTTTTTGGTTTGAAGCTCCATCCGTGAATAGTGTCCACATTCTCAAGTGTTTATCTTCTAGGAGTTGTTTAGCTTCAATGTCTAATTTGTTTTGTAGATCATCACTAAAGTCAGCCATAAAGTCTACTAATGTTTGTGAACTTATGGCATATCTTGGCTCATATTTGATATCAAACGTGATTAACTTCACTTACCATTTTCCCATCCTTCCTAACATCTTTGGTTTTCTCATTAAAAAAATGAGAAAACTAGTAAACCTAGACTAGAATAGTCCAAATGTTTAAGAATACTGAAACAGAGTTTCAGAATCATGAAGTGGCAAGTAATGTGGAAAATAAAGAGTTATGAATCAATCAAATTGATAGAAAGACGTTTTTTAGACTTAAGATCAATGATTCAAATGTGTCTTATATTCATGAAGATTCAATTACAAGTGTTTGAATGTAAAACACACTAAAACTCTCAAATGGATTTCTGAAGACTAGTATAAGAAGTGATCGTGTAGAATGAGCAGGAATGAGTAGAAAAGAGCAACTTTATAATGGATCCCATGGGGCCTACTTATAGGCTTTGGAAAATCCCATGACATGGCTTGACCAATCAGGTGTTGACACATCATCATGACTTAGTCATCAGTTGGCACCTTTGCCCCACTTAACGGAGAATGAATGGAATATTCCAGTATCATTAGTATTCTATTAGGGTTCCATCCAAGTTATGAGTCTTCATAATTCTTGAGCCTTTTTTTATCAACATTGAAAATGTGATGAGCATCATGTTGCTTAATTGTCCTCTTAGATGTTATCAACTTCCAGAAGTGTTGTTAACCAAGTTAAGATGTTTCTTGAACATTGAAATGTGTCTTGGACTTGAAGATGTGCGACTACTTGTTCACGATGGACCATGAATGAATTACATGTGCAATTGAGTACTTGGACAGGATCTTCATTGTACATGGTGTTCCATGTGTATTCTTGTTGAGCCATCAATGTGAACATGTTGATCCATTGACTTGAGTTGAGCCAATAAGTATTCATGTTAACATCAACTCTTGTTGAGCCATAGAGTTGTGGATAAGCCATCAATATTACAAATGATCCACCAATATATTGATGCTCCACATATAATCTAAATGTGCCATTTGAGATCATGATGATCCAACTTGCTTTCAGCAAGCGCTCCATGTAAGCTTCAGGAGCTCCAACATATGATTCTTCAGATACTTGTTGAATCTTCAGTATCTTTCCAACCTTAAACATTCTAATAATGTTTGTTAAAGAAATATATAAAAGGACTCAATTTATTTCAAGTGACAATCACATACAAATATTTTCCAACAGTTTCCCCCTATGTGATGGTTACTGAAATAAGGAGTAAACATAAAAGGAGAAATAAAAGTAATAACAAGCAAGATAAATTTTAACAATAAGATGAATTTCTAGTAGCAAATACATCATTCACATGTTTGGAAAAACAAAACAAAAACACATAATATAAATTTTATTAACCATTTCCGAAACTTAAAAACCATGTAAGTTCTTCAATGATCTTCACTCTCAACGACTCATCTTGATCTACTGTTCTCTTCAATAGACCAATTATGCCTTTAATGAATTTAGGGGAGAATAAATTTTTTTGAGAGATTCTCATGAATTTCAGTCAACCTTTAGAAGAGAATACAACATGTCTGTGTGGTTACTTTAGAATGTTACCAGGTGACTCATTTTCCATATTTAGATCCAAATTTGGTTCCTCAGCTTCCTTTTCTCCTAGCTGTCCAATCTCCCAGTCAACACTGAAATCAATAACCATGTCGAGTACATATTTCCTTAGGTGTTTTAGGACATCTGCATAAGCTTTATATGTACTCGCCCTTTGTTTCAACCAAATGATCAGTGATCTGATATCATCTTGGTTTATTTTAGGGAAATCAGCTTCAAAAAACATGAATTCAGAGTTGTCTGTCTTTTTTCCTTAAAAGAATGCATATGGCATCTTTCTAAATTTATGTATGTTAATTTTGCTAATTGAAGAAATCTTGAACTTTAACCATACAGAGACAACTTGAATTGATTTCTTTAGGAAGAATCTTTTCTTCACCTCTCAGTGTCTATATCAAGCTCAACTAGATAAATTGCACTTGGCCATAAATTGAACTTCATACCATTCGGGGGTGCATGGATATCCCACTTTTCTTTAGTGATGTCTAAAGTAGGTGTGAAGGAGTTTGTGGGCTTGATGACCTTGACATGTTGATAGGAATCTCAATCAGTGCAGTGACTTAAAGAACATGGTTTGGCATGTAGAGTTAAAGAATACACAATGAACGTGGTGATCAATTTTGGTGTTTAAGAGATGTATTCGAATATGTATGGTGTTACAAAAAAGGATCTAGATCTAAATCTGCATAAATAACACACACTTACACACTCAATGTTTACACCTCTTAAGAACACGTCTACATGTGGAATGAACCCACCTTATATGGAGGTGTTTACATGTCTCTCTCTCACTCTCTACCTCATGAGTCAAAAGGCTAATGCACCACATGCAAGTGGGTCTACAAAATTCAAACCATTACAAAGTCATACATGGATAACTTTATACCCCAATATTCTCCCTCTCAAAGTTAGGAATGGATGACCCACTTCAAATCTTCCAAAATCGAGCAACTACGCGATCCGAGCCTCAAACGTGACATATGTTGAGATGAACTTCAAATCTTCAATTCTCCCATGATTCTTCAATTTGGTCTCTAGGATGTGAAACCATACAAACCAAGCATCAACGAATGATTAAGCGCATCCCAAACTCCAAATAATCACCCAAAAGTTGAGCATAAAAACACATCCCGAAAATCTTCAATAAAACCAAAGCCATTTTGAACCGAAATCACTTCTGAATCTCCAATCGCATCATTTCATAAACTTCAAAAATTTAAGGTTACTTCGGTTTCAAATTGGCGTAATATGAAAAATTCAACTTCAAATTTCCATATAAATTTCTCCCCCTTTTTATAATCGAAATTTGATTATAAAACCTTCAAGGAAAGAGAACGTGCTCTATTCGGAATTTTTCGTGTCAAAACTCCCCCTTACCATGTGGCATGAACTTTATGTTTTAATTCAGAAAACCCAAAAAATCGTCAATTTTTAGCTTTGTTCATGGACCGCCTTTGACAAAAAAAATTCAAAAACGGATAAAAATTTTCAATTTCAAAATTCTACAGTGACCCGGTGCGCCCAAAACAGCCAAAAATGCGAAACTCTCCCCCTTTTCCGAAGTCGGGTAAAAGCGTCAATTCGCATAAACTATAGGGGCCTAAAATGCATATTTTTCAATTTTTCAGCAAAATAACTCCATTTTCGAAATTGGGCAAAAACTGTCAAACTTTCAAAATTTCAATGACTGATTTCTTCTGCCTTTTGTCCCAAAATGTCGAAAATCAACCCAAATTTCGAAAGTGGACATAAACTGTCAAAAATGTTGAAACATCAAGGACCATTGTCGAAACTTTTCCATTATTTCTTTCACACTATCCAAAAGTATCCAAATGTCGAAATTGATTAAAATGTGGCAAAATTTCGAGACTTTAAGTACTGATTTCGAAATTGCTGCCCGCTACATCCAACTTTCGTTTTCATCTTCCCCAATTCATTAAAGATACCTTCTTCTTCACTTTGTTTATTTGCTAACAAAAACTGTTTTCACAGCACAATACCCATTTTAACAAAAAAAATCATATCAATGGAATAACGAAATTGAAGCATGTCGAAGCCGCTGAATCATATTTGAATCATTTAGTCGCTGAATCAAGATTTCGCTATTACAAATCTTCATTAATGCGTCAAAATCAAATACCATTGTCTTCGTTACTTAATCAAACACACCCAGTTAACGAAATCATAGCTTTCGTTCTCATGATACCAAATTAGCTTCCCAGTCGACTCCAAATCACCATTCGCTTTTAAAACCATTTTGCTTTCCACTCGATACCAAGCAACAACCCAAAATCGACTAAAATCAACATTGCACATTGCAACTTCAACCGTTTTAACCATCGAACCAACATTCGCTATTAGTTAAGAGGAACTCCAAAATCGAATATCATCAATCCATTCCTTCGTTAAAAATTCCAAGCAATTATCAATCATCAAAATCAACCATTCGATAGCAATTTCTCAGTCGATACCCTTCGTTTATATTCCAGGCTAAACATAAGAATAGTCAAAATTGACTCCAAACTTTTGAAATCAACACATTACTTGACATCGATCAAAATCTACTTTGAACCATCGACCACCAAATCCGACTTCCAAGTCAAAATTAACTTCTCATGTCGAAATCAGCTCTTCTCAAAACTAAGGCTCCATATTTCGAAATCATCATTTACCAGAAAAGTTTGATTTCCAAATCATTATTCCAAAATCAACCAAGAACATAAGAATAGGTATCGACACCATTAACTCTGGTCCAAGAAATTTTGAAATTAAACACCAAATTGAACATGATTTCAACATCCCCTGCCCAAGTACAACTTGTATCTTCCAATTTCTTTTACCAATTCATTGAATCAATCCATAGAAATCGAGTTTGACTTTTTCTGGGATTGACTTTTCGAAGTCAAACATCAAGAAACATGAAATCGAAGATTCCAACACCAAGTTGTAGATCAAAATATGTTCAAATAGGTGTTTTAACCATGTTCTTCACAAAAATTTAAGATTTCGTCATCAATTTCGCCAAACTCAAAAACTTGATTTTCGAAATCTTTGTCTTAACTTGATCACAATCTATCTTTGAGATTAAACTCAATGTAATGAGTCGATTCACAAGTATATCTTCCACAATCAAAGTAATCAATCTACATGAGTGATGATAGAAGAACGAGACTCCATAACGAGAATAAAAGATATGTTGAATGCGACTTCAGAACATATGATAATGTTATTGACTTAATTTCGATGAATTAATGGGCTGTCACATTAAAACCGGATTAAACAACATATTGGGCTTCTCAATTTGGATCATTACATAGTAAGCAGATCACGAAAATATACCAATTATGAACAGTGACAAACTTAAAGTAGTTTTGGGCTAAATCATGCTTGATGAACAGTAACGAATCAAGGATTGGGTTCAAAGTTGAATACAAACATTAATAATCTCAATATTTTGATTTGTTTTTTGGTTCAAATTTTGATTCAAACGAATGATTGCAATTTAAAATCAAATCGGACGAACAAATATGAAATTGGATTGGACTTTGATCAACCAAAAAATTATTGGATCATAACAAGTGGGTTTTTCAAAAAAAAATTGATCCAATGAGTTAAAATGATCAAAAATCAAGAACGTAACACACAAATCAAAGAGATTAAGAGAGATCATAGAGAGAGACTCACTAAAAATGCTCCAACTGTGACAAATTTTGCCAAACCGAGAATCGTTCTTCAACAACTCACGTTAATCTTTGAAGACCCGCTCTAATACCAAATATAATGACTTAAAGAACATGGTTTGGCATGTGGGATTAAAGAATACACAATGAACATGGTGATTTTAATGTTTAAGAGATGTATTCGAATATGTATGGTGTTACAAAAAAAGATCTAAATCTAAATCTACATAAATAACACACTTACACACTTAATGTTTACACCTCTTAAACACACCTCTACATGTGGAATGAACCCACCTTATATAGAGGTGTTTAAATATCTCTCTTTCACTCTCTATCTCATGAGTCAAAAAGCTAATGCACCACATGCAAGTGGGTCTACAAAAGTCAAACCATTACAAAGTCATGCATGGATAACTTTGTACCCCAACCATTAGGGTTAAAAAAGATGGTTCTTTTAGGTGATGACACTCTAAATTGTTTATCATGCCATGTACTCCTTTCTTCAGGAGAGATCTCTGAATATTTCTTTTTGAGAAATACCTCTTGTTTAGACTTTAAATTCTTAGCCTTCAGTTTCTTAGCTAATTCTTCATCTATCTCCATTTGAGCTTCTTTAGCTAATTCCTTCTTAGACTTACAGACAATATTCTCTTTACCCTTATCCTTGGGATTAGTTTAAGGAAGCTTTCGTTGAGTTTTTGGTTCTGATATGGTGACAGTTTTGGAGAAGTAAACATCTTTCCTTCATGGAACTTTTAGAGATGGATCTTTGATCCTTTGTCGTTGAACGAGTTCCTTTTCTTTCTTGACCATCTTTTCTCTGTTCTGTTGAGCTTTTAATCATGCATCAACAGCCATTTTGTCGAGTGACTCTATTTTCTCATGTCTCTTTTTCTCAAACTCATTTGGTGAGTCTGGAATGTGATGTATGTCACGAGACTGACTTGATTTGGTCTTGTTTACCTTTTCCCCCTCTGATTCATGTGGCCACTCATTTGAACCAGATAACTTTGCTAAGATCAAGTCAAGTTTGGAATCAGTCGATGCAACCTTTTGCAGAAGAGCACATAGATCAGAAGAGGAAGATTGTGTCTTGAGAACATTGACTTCATCGACTAGCAACTAAACAGTCTTCTGAAGGGAAGATATGTCACGTGATGAGCTATTGACTTTCTCGAAATTGGATTTTGAGAGATTTGCAATGTCATATCTTAACGAATCCAATTCACATTGAACTTGTTCACTAAATTCTTGAAAGGGAGAGGTGGAGGATGATACGGAAGCTTTAGATAGTTCTGTAATGGACTTCTCAATAGTGGAGATATATCGGTCTGAAGCAGTAACATGATTTTTCATAGGATCCAATTTGGCTTCATAGACGGACTCTAGATTGGATAAGGACTAAATAAAGCCATCTATCTTCTTATTCATCGGAGAGAGACAACCTTCAAAAGTGTTGTGAATTTTCTGATCTAGAGTTTTGATCCTCCACATGTTGCGAGCAACTTGTCCTTTGATATAAGCAGTTGTGCCTTCAAAATCTTCAATAGTGACCTGAAGTTTTTTTACCCATGCTTGTGTTGTCTCATTAAGTATACACATATTTTCTTCCATACATTCAAGATATTCTTGAAAGTTCTGCAGATATTCAGAGTGAGGAGATGTGTGAAATTGAATTTGTTGAATACCATCAGCTACCATTTGGATAGTAAGTATGATGTGCTTAGGCTCTGGTTCGGCGGTATTGGCTTCATCTGTTTCTTTAGGAGTATCATCATCCTGGAGAGGATCTTGTTAAAAGGAGAAGAAATTTGGTTCTTGAACATCATCCTTTTCTTAATACTCTTTTGGAGTTGGAGGAGAGTAGTCATCAAGATCAATGATGAAAGTCCCGGTAGATGCGTTGGAGTAAAGGACAATGGACATGTCATTTGGCTTATCATCGACTCTCAATCGTTCACTAGAAGGTACATCTACCGTTTGCATTGGGGTATCCTCATCGTGATTATCTTGTACAGGAGAGCTTTGAAGAAATTTTTTCCCTAGAATAATAAATTAAAATAAATAATACTATTAAAGTAGATATTTATTTTTTTTCACCAGGTACAACTCTTGAATATTCATCCAGTTGAATCTTGTAATACGTGGTGACTTCATAATTACAAAATAGTTGACACTGACTATGTTTTTTGTAAACAAATTTTCATATAGTGGGTACCTTTAACTTTGACAATAACAATAATTAAATGATTTGATACATTTTGTGGGCTAAGCCTTAGCTGAAAGTCCGTTGTTGAATCTTGGCTTCTTAGTAGTTTAAATTGAATTTTCGTCATGCATTTTTATCCTAGAATAATAAAAAAGAGTTATGAAATTTTCGTCTAGAAAGTTATTTTTTATCAAAATTAAATTGGTATTTTATTGTGATTTTATGATTTAGAGTTTTTTTTTATTGATAATTATAAAAATCAATTATATAGATAAAAAAGCATTTGCAAAGTTTATTTTAAGATATTTGGCCATTTGTTCGAAAAAGATTATCTGTAATAGGACTGCATTCATTTTTGTTAATTTTCAGCTTAATCAAACGTATAAAAATATTAAACATTGATTAATGATAGCATGAATAATTTCGAATAAAAATATCTAGTACCTTTAGCACTTTAACTGTATGATATATTTTTATAGTTAAATTACATTAAATAAACAAATGCTATGGTTTACAAAATCAAAGAAAGACAATAATAAATAAAAGTAAAAGAAATTTAGCAGAAGGTGTGCTTGAGACTTTGAGTGATTGATAAGTAGAGGGTTGTATTTTGTAAAAAGATATATTAAAAAAACTAAAAAAGAAATATTAATTAATTGTGTATAAGATAATAAAATTTAATTTGATTAATTTAAAGGGGCGTAACAAGAAACGAAGAATACGAATAATAGCACCATTATTTAAATCGCCCCTAAATTAAATATTTTAATAACTATTCGTAGTCTCACAGTGAGGTTTTGGATATAGGTACACCTGGATTAACTAGAAAACATGTGCTTTTTTGGAACCGGAGAAAACATGTGCTGTGCATAGTATACTAGTTCTTTTTACTAACTTTGATTCATGTGTCAATATTTTATGGCCTTTGTTGAAACGGTTTACAAGAATCATACCTTAATGCTTACAGACGGGGGAAGGGATTTAAACTACAGTAGATATAAAAGAATTTCTCAAGTTTTAAAAAACTCACCCATCATTTCTTTCCCATCAATCTTTTATATATATATATATATATATATATATATATATATATATATATATATATATATATATATATATATATATATATATATATATATAAAGAGAGAGAGAGAGAAAAAAAGTGAATATACATTACAGTCCCACCTAAACTTAGGTACTAAACCTCATGAAAATACATTGTTTTACTATATAGAGATTGTGGTTAAAGGATTCACAATTAACACTTAATGATGTAGATTCAAGATAGATGAAATAGTTTTGATAAGGAAGCAACAATATTGATTATCTTCAACCTTACTAATAGTGGAAAAAAGTAATGTTTACTGGAGTGAATTAATTAACAATAATTGAGGAAAAAAACAAGCATGGTAAAATGATAATGGAGGAAGAAAATGTTATTGATTAGGTATATTTACCAAGTGAAAACCAAATCGGGTATATTTGCTAAGTTAAAACAACATATTTTAGTGGTTTTGTACATAAGCTTAAGTGGGACTGTAATGTATATTCACTGTCCCCATATATATATATATATATATATATATATATATATATATATATATATATATATATATATATATATATATATATATATATATATATAGGTGAGATCGGTTGAGAACTAATAGTTTCCCAAGAACCTGATAACTAAAAGTGAAACGTTAGATCAAAATTAATTCATTAAGGTCATTATTATCATCTTACCAATCTCATTTAATCTTTAATTTTTTATGTTATTGGAAATATTAATAAAATGTCTAAAAATTTACATAATAAATCCAATTTTCAGATTTTTTTTAAATTAATACTTTTTGATTTTTTTTAAAAAAAAAAGTTGCAGATTTTTATTTTTTTTATAGAATACATAAATTTTTTGAAAAACAATATTTGAAAAACTATTTTTTTTAAAAAAAACTACAATTTTTTTAAAAGCATTAAAAAATCAATAATTTTTTTTAAAAAAACTGGAATATTTAAAAAATACTATAATTTTTTAATGCAAAAAATCAACATTTTAGGTGTGTGTGTGTGTGTGTGTGTGTGTGTATATATATATATATATATATATATATATATATATATATATATATACAAATGCATATATGTATATTTCATATACTATAATATATGTAAGGAAATAATACGAAAACTCTATTTACTAATCTATAAGCACAATAGAATAAGTATTTTATTCGATACAAAACAAAATATAAAAAACAAAAAATTGCTACAAAATTTCAAAGTGTTTTCATGTCTTCACGTCAATATTTCTATATTTTATTCAGTTTATCATTTTTCACCTCTTGAAAAATCACCATAATTTTTTCCAAATCTACAAGAAAATTAAAAAAAAAATGATTGATACAAAAACACTCACGAAAATACATATATGAATCACATACGATTCACATATAAATCACATGCAATTCACATATAAATCACATGCGATTCACATATGAATCATATTTACAGAGGACATCATATGTGAATTACATTTGATTTTCATATGAATTGCATGTGAATCACATGCGATTTACATGTGAATCAAATAAGATTAATATGTGAATCACATGTGATTTACATGTGAATCACATGTGATCTAGATGTGATTCACATTTGATTTTTACATGTGAATATGTCATATTATATTCAAATATGGATATATCATGTAATAATTACATGTGAATCCTAATGCAATATTCACATGTGAATATACCACATAGCATTCACATATTAATATCAAACCAACTAGAATTCCAAGGAATTGAGTAGTGAGAGAAATATTTTTTTGTATGTGTGCAAACGGTTACATTTCAGGGTGAAGAATAAATTTACCTTCCAGGAACAGGATCCGAATTTGTAAAGGTATAGGGAAACCGACAGACTCTATGAGTGAATCATCGGTAGAGTAGATGGACATAGAACTTTAATCAGAAGTCGGATCCTATTCCTAAGATACTATATCCATGTTACACAACCTAAAACAAATCAAAATAAAAAATTATAATAATATAAACAAGCTAAATATGTGAAAAAATAATAATAAAAAAGCTTACTTTTTAAGATTTTACACACATGTGGTCTTTAATCAATGAGAGGTGATCATTATGGGGTTTTTCAATCACATTCAAAACCTGAAAGAAACTGAAAGAAACGGCAAAAAGTAACACATCTACTTTAGCAAGGGTAAAAATGTAAATTTGCATGAATAAAAGTAAACCCTAAAATCTTACTTTTGAAAGTAACTCTTAGCTTTCAAGATGTTGCTTTTTCAAACTTTCAGTTAAAATTACACTAAGCAACTCTGATCTTCAGCTCTTAATGCACCTCTAATTACAACTGCATATTTTCCAGAACCTCCTGGTGTGAAGATGTAATTTTCTCTTTGATATCCCTTAAATATGTCGTTCACAAGTATGTCTTCAACACAACAAATCTAACAATTTCACACAATAAACACACTTAAAAGATAAAGTTTTGATAAAATACAACTAGTTTTCACCTCCTTTAATCTATTGCCATCCATTCTGAATCTTTCATCTAGCTACATGTTTTTCCATACCACTAACTTAATCATGATGCTATGCAAACCATAAAGCATTAACCAAGTAATCTGTATTGCCCCTGTTTTGTTCCTTTCCTTCATCACTTCTAATTGTAAAATATTTTTGAAATAAATAGAGAGACAATAGGAATAACGAGATAGAAAGCATCATAAGTGGTCTAATCAGCCAAAGTTACCCTGAACAAGCATATATCAGTTCAGTCTTATCAGATAAAAGTTATGGATTCATAGGGAAAAGGTAATGAATCCAGCCACAGTTCAACACAATGGAAATACGAAAAGCAACAAACCTGAGATTGGATACACCACGTATAACATGATAATTTATGACAAAATGACCTTTAGGTATCCTAAACAAAGCCTGATCCAAATCCTTGTGGCACCTCCAACACATCTAGAGTAAACACATCTTGTCTAAACTAAATAATATTAAAGCTCAGTTGATTCCACAAAATCAACAAGCCAAATGTAAGCAGTTAAGGATCGTAAGTTCATAACATGTAGCTTTTCTAATGATCTCATGAAATGAGCATTAAAATTTAAAAATATCTACAAAAGTGTTGGATCATTTACGGTTATACTATACTACAAAATTAATTGTGCTTAATAACTCTGATTTTATCGTTATCCATCAAATCCAGCAAACACAATGAAGGACATAAAAACAAGTATCCATCAAAATAGGAACAAGAAAACTAAATAATTGGAAGCTAAATTGGTAATGTAGACAAACAAACGGAGTATGCTTCTGGAAAAGACGAACAGGGGCGAGGTCATCCATCTGCAACTTCCTAGGCGCAACGATAATGAAAACGGCAAGTGATTCCATATCGATAATGAAGATAAAGGCGGAAAGAGCTACTAAAGTGCAAATCAGAAAGCAAG